CCCAGCCAGTTTAACCCCTCCTTGCAATTAGGCCCTCCACACCATATCATTCCCCAGTCACAAAATACCACTGCTGAGCAGTTACAATTAGAACTTCCCCTTCACTCCTGATGGATATAAGTTCTCCTATCAATGAGCAAACACACAGTAGGCACAATCACCTTAGTCAACATGAAGCCTCAAAATGATTCTGGCTTTGTGTCTGGACCTTCAAAATCTGCCTTAAAATCAGAGATCAGTGGGGAAAAAACCCCATACACAACCCCTCCTCAACAGCTGAGAGAAGGCAGCCACAAGCAACTTCCAGCATGCTCCTGTATAGCTCTACATCATTTAAGACTGTCTTGTATTTTCAGGACGTCCAAATACTGTGGATGAGTGTAGAAAATGGCACGTCTTTCCCAGGTTGTATGTTTTCTGGTTAGTCACTAAGCAGCTCTCCAGTGACACAGTGTGGTCTAAAGGAAAAGGTTTTCTCTAAAGAATGCATAGGTCTCAGATAGAGAATCTGCAGGTTAGAACTGGGAGGTGACATAATTTAAAAGTAAAGCAGTATACAGCACGCATTGGTGATGCCACTGCTATGCTTATGAACGGCTGCAATTCTTAACTGCTGGATATGGTACCGACTGGCACCTTTGCTAAAATGTCTTTACTAACCCTGATTTGTGGATTGCCACTGATGAAGTTGGCGCTGATTTTAATGGTGTGGTTTTTTCCTTGCTGCCAGGAACTTGCTTTCTTATAATTTGCTTTGCAATGTACCTTACAGCTCCAAAGGAATTAGCATCGGTTGCTCAAGCAGATGAAATCTGAATCTCATAGTCCTTGACTGGCTAGTCCTTAGTGAGGTATATGCGCCCTATGCTTTTACTGGTAATGCAAGTCTCCCTCCTCAGACAGAAGTTTTGTTAATGGAGCCGCATTTACATGGTTCAGATTCAGAAAGTACCTTCATCGGGCAGGAGTGTCAGTTTGCCTCAGGGCAACACGTGTTTTACAAGGTATTTTCCTGGCATGTTCTGTTCATGTATGTTGCAAGGAGGGGTACCATGAGACACATCCAAACATGTGATATAAAATCTCACTTAGACTGAGTCTGAAGTTTAAAGAGTAGTAACAGGTAAGACAGACACTTGCCATGTCACACTCCACCGCCATAAGAACACCATGGGCAGGTGTCAGCTGCTCCTCATAAAGCCCTTGCAGAGAAGTATAAGCCTTGAAATATATGTGCTGCCCAAAAGACTTTGTGATGTCAGGAATCCAGCCTTGCACCAAAACGGAATCCACTGATGCACATTTAAAAAAAAAAGACTATTCTCCTTTGCAGACCTGTTAGGTCTGCCTTCCTGCTGGCGTCAGAATCATAGAACAGTTTGGGTTGGAAGGGACCTTTACAGGCCATCTAGTCCAACCCCCCTGCTGTAAGCAGGGACATCTTCAACTAGATCAGGTTGCTAGGAGCCCCGTCCAACCTGAGCTTGAATGTTTCCATTATGTAACCTTCTCTTAGAAACCTGCTTTCTGGCTTACAACCTTTCCCCCTAATTCTTCAAATCTGCTACCGTCAGCATTAGCCTCTTCCTCAGCTACCTGTTGGTGATTTCAGAACTCCTAGAGGAAGAGAAATACCTTCTTGCACAGATTATCAGCATGTTGTGGAGCCTGTGAAATATAAATCAACTCAAATTCCATATCAAGGCTTTAAGAGACAACTAGATAAACATGTCGTTATTGAATGTTTGTAACTACAACTTTATACTGAGCATGATCAAAAGTTTAAAGTTTGAGTCCTTAAGTGGTAGAAAGTGGTATATGGTCGGAAAAAAGGTACCTTTTCAGTTGTACAACTGATTGAGGACAGTACAGATAAGACCATAAAACCACCTTCCTCTATGGAGCTGTTAAATACAAACTCTTGCCATTGCAGCAGACCACTGCTAAAGTTCAGTAAATGTCAACTCAGTAATATCAAGATCATTTGATCCCTTGGTTCTTAAATAACCTGTAAATCCCATTTAATTACCTCTGTGTGTGAGGGAGGGGTTTTAAATTCCATACCTTCAGAGGGTGACACTGATAAAAGTACCGTGCGCTCAGTATTTGAGCTTGCGGGTTGGACAGGAGGCCCACCTTAGTCCACAATATCTGTATCTCCAGTGTCACAGGAACCATGCAACAGGAAGTGCAATTCGCAGCCTGAAAATAAAATATATCCCAAACATCTTAATATAGTATTTTAAAGGTGAAAAAGGACCATTATGGTCAAAAGTCTAATATTTTGGATAGCATAGGTCACAGAACCTCAATCAGTCACTTCAGCACTAACCCCATAACTTCTGGTCAGGTCAAACCACCTGTTTTACAGCTATATCCATCTCGTTGTCATCTCATTTCCAAATAGAATTTGTCTCAGCTCTACCACTTTGACTTTGCATTCTATGAGGCCACCTCCTGACAGATTAATAATTATTAAAATAGAATTTCCCTCCTCCTCAAGTACTTGGATCACAAACTTTTACCCTTACTAGGTAATATATGAATATCCCTAGGAAATGGAAAATCAGAAAGGATGATAATAATAAAAACACCAAATTAATAGGAAGTAACCAGGTAGTATAAGTTCTAAAAGGCTGTCAGAAAACTGGGTAATACAACATTGGATTCAGTATTAAACTCTTTTTGCCCATTTAAATGGCATGAACAGGATTCAAGAGATATTAAATCTGTCAGGGTTTTTTGTTTGTTTGTTTAATAATATGAACCATAATAAGAATAACTGCTTATAGGTATTAAGACTCCTGAGAGTCAGTGAATCATCACACAAAGAAAGTAAGCCCAGATGAACAAGCTGGTTCTTTTTTTCCCATGCCCACACTTCCCCAGTGCGATACAAAGATATGAAAGGAAAAATATTCACAGCTGGTCTTTTTGCATTCATATTACCTGCACACTGCAGTTCTGAACCAGAATGGTCATCCACTCTTCTGCCTGGGTTGAACGAGCACTGCCAGTTATAGCAAGGTTCTCTACTCCATTCATCCCCTGAAGAGCCCTGTACAACTTCCGCTGGATGTCACTACAGTTACTTTCTTCCAGTATTGGGGACAGGCTGGAAATGAGAAAATAACAGCTTTGACAAAGTGATTTCCAGGACAGAAAAAAATGCAAAACAAACCTATCAACATCCTTCCTTTGTAATGAGTATTCTGCTCTTGTAACGAGCCAACAGAATCATTACGGAAGTAACGGTGTTAAACGGATGCAGTTTCAATCCTCTCCGCAATGCGAAGGAAGAAGAACATGTCAGAGTAACGCACGATAAGGAAAAGACAGCTTTAGCCACCTTATCACATCAGTGGTTGTATACCTGCCCTGTCAGCAACAAAAAATTATCTGAATCATCAAAACAAACACTTTTTAAGGTTCCATTATAATTCACTCCTCAAATACAAACTCTACTCTTGCTCAAGACATGTTGCCAAACTACAGACTCAAAATGTCCCAGAAGACCTTCACAATGTTCAGATTGTTCTAGAGGTCCACCATCTCTCTAACATTCAAGCCCTCTTAGGAGCATATGAAAGATCTGTAGAGACCCATTGGTGACTTCAGGGAAGGACCTAGGCTCCGCAGCAGTGCGTGATAGACTATGGAAAAATGTGCTAAGTGACACCTTCCAAATAAGTCAGGAAGGGTGACTGCAGAGTGTGTTGTAACCTGAGGTTGCAGCCCGTCCTCATATTTCTTCCAAATTGTACTGTGTGTCTGAGGAACTGTGAGCAACTTCCATCACCTTCGCTCCGTAAAATGCTCATCTGACAGACTGCACGTCAAGAAGCCAAACAAAAGCATAAACAGACAATGTAGGACACCCAACTTCTATTTAACAATCCTCTTGCCAAAAGGCCTGCTGGTGGCTGCAATGTAATACTGAGGTATGCCCTCACAGGTAAAGGCAGACTCTCAAAAGGCCAGAGAGTACAAGTCAATAAACGCAGCGATAAATAAAACTTGATAGCAGAAAAAGGATACATGCTGCACAGCACCACTGTTTGCAATCAACAGTGGTGCTCCGGTGATATAGCCAGGGTTTCCACTTCTAGGCAACACATGAGAAAGAGTCTTGGTCTACAAAGAGGCAAAGCGAAGGAAGGAAGGCAGAGGAAAACATTAGCACCAATGAGATCCATTCATCTCAGAAGATCAAATTCACATTCTCAAAAATGTAAATGTAACCCATTTTTCCAATGACTGAATATTATGCACTCCTAAAACCTCCATTATTTGTTTCCAAATCCTCTTTCTTACCTGGCAAGTTCATCTGCAGTCTACAAGGTAAAAAACTAAATGTCAGTACCCTGAAATGCAGATACTACCAGGGCAGTTCTTGAGACAATGAATTCCTATTGCTCAGCACTTGTCTCTAAGGAAGTGAACATATCAGTCTGGGCAATTCTACAGATGATCTGCAGAACAAACCCTGCCTTGACCCTGATTCTGAGTGGCAGATTCCACTTCTAAATTGTTTTATGGGGAAAGCCTCGGTGGATAACTTCAGCAAGGTTGCACTGCACACTTATCAACCCCTGAGGTCACCACTTACCCCACTTCATATTGCCTCTATAGGACAAGGTTTATACTAACTTCCAAGACACTAGTATTTCCCAGATTTCCACCCTCTCCAAAGTAACTGTTTTTCCAGCTGCACAGGCAAAGCTAAGTACGTACCTGGAATACATTTAGCAACTTTGTTCACGAGCACTGAACACCTCAGACACACCACCTGCTCCAACCCTTTCCTTCACAAGACCATGCTGGTGACCCTGATCTCATCCTCTCTCCTTCTCCCCCCACCGAAAAAAAAAATCCCCAAATCAAAACAACAGCAGAACACAGTCAGATAAAAATAATCAGCCCCTTCAAACTTGTGCAGTGCAAGACTGCATGCTTGTACTGAGCCTGAATTTTTCTACTAATATGGTTTACTTGACACCAGAGCAGCATACTCTCCCTCCTTCAACCATCAGCTGTGCCAGGGTTCTGGTACTACCGTACCACAGTGACACCGCTCTAATCTTTTCACATCTCATCTGTACAAAACTGGGTCACAAGCTACAGACTTGGTAAGAGCCTAGGGAGAATGGGGGCACTGACCCAGAAGTGCAAAGTGAAGTGCTGCTGCAGAGAGGATCCTGAGTTCACAGAGATGTTGCTCACTTTGAACCGGACAGAAACACTCTGAATCCCACGTGTGCCACTGCATTCTATCTCATAGATCACCTGAAAGTCCAATTCAGAGAAGAATCAGAGGTTACAGGGCAATGACTTTAAGCTGATGTTGAACTGCCTAAAGGAAAAAAAAAAAAATCAGATACCTCAGAAACAACATTGTTACATGTGTTCTCTTTCATGTGGGGAGCTTCAGGTGGTGCCACTGCAGTGACCCTTACCTGGAGACAGTAAGCATATAACAATTAGCAATTGTTTAAAAGGAGTAGGCCTTTTTTACTATTTTCCAATGCTTTTCCATCCAAGCGCAATTTACCTTCCTCTTGTATCTGTGATCTGTGGGCACATCACCCTGCTCCAGACCCCAAATTTTTTCTAAGAAAACAAGCTACCTCCCCGACTCCAGCCCTATCTCTATGCCCATTCATTTAAGAGTACATCTTCCTTTATATGTCTATTTTTTTCCATGTTGCATTTTTGTCCAAAAAATCTTGTGTCAGAACATTCCCAGTCTCCCACGTTCCCAACCCACAGACACTACTGTGAATGCCTAAGATTCCAGATACGTTTTATTTCAGAAGCAGAAATCATTCCCATTGGCAATAGAGACTGACCTTCATGGACTGCACAACGGCGTCACTAATTGGGACCTGGGGAAAACAAACAAACCAACATACAGCACCAAAAACCCAACTGATTTTCTGGGTTCGCAAGTGCCGAAAGTCATGAAACCATCACTAAATAAAGCCTACATATTACATTGACAAAAATTACTTTGTTTATTCCGGATGTGTAAGACTTAACATCAATTTGTGATCTCGAAATCATAGACATGATCCACAGAAAGTATTTTTCGAACATCAGAAGGTAAGTTTTATTCTTGGCCCTGCTAACAACCTGCAGAATGCAGATAATTTAAAATACCAGCATCTTTGACCGTTCCTGGAGCTCCCCCTTCTGGAATAAAGTAATTACTTCAGCTTCCATTTAAGGAAAAATTACATTTTGGTCACAGTGACAAAGAAAGCCCTGAAAACATGAGTTAAATTTGATCAACAGAAGGCTCTCTGCTACACTTATGTAGCTTTAGATTTCCAATATAAAGGTAAACCGAGTCATTAGCCCTAATACGTTGTTAATATTTACACTGCCATTTTGTCTTGGGAGCACCAGAGAAACTAGAAGGCGAGCGGAGATATTTTCATGTTAACATTCAATAAGACCAGCATGATGAACCCAGAACAATAAAGCGGTTATTTTTAAATTATTGTCAGGATAAACAATGGAGAAATTGATATGGAATTCAACCTATGAATGTAAATAAAGCTAATGTTGATAACTGGCCTTCAGTATCGTTTTAGAGATAACATGGTGCAAAACAAATCCTTATTCTTTACTAAGAACATGCATTGCTTGGTTGATCAAGTTGATGGAACAGATCAAAATGCTTTGATAAACACTGTTTAAAATGCGAGAGAGTTCTAGTTAAACCATTAAAACTATGAAGTATCAATGAAGCATCTGTTAAATGCATGAAGAATTTGCTAATAAATATAATTTATTGGAAAGTAGTTTGAATTGAGGGATTATCACCAACCATGACATTCTTAACAGGATTTCCAGCAAGAAGGCCTTAACAATCGGGAGATCAGGCATGACATACCAGATGACCTTTAGTTTTCCAGTTAGCTGACGTTGCAATAGAAGGCAACAGACAGCCAAGCAAATAAGACGTTGAGCAAAAGGAAGAAATATGACACACACCTTTAGCACAGTGAAGTCACGGTAGTAGGAGGCCGCATCTAGGGAAGGGTCAGTAGTGCAGCTCTTGCTCAAGTTGGCAAAAATACGAGTACAGCTTGTGCTTTTACTGTCCAGGAAGCCTGAGTTAAGACACGACAACAGATAAAACAGAAGCAAACCACCCTAAGAAATTCTTCCCCCTTTACTAACCAGCAGGATTTCCATCAACACAAAGTCCATTGGCTCCCATTTTTACTGGCTGTCTAAGCGTGCTCAGTGCAGATGATGAATCAAAGTAGATTAGGATTGGATCACCAGCCTGAAAAGATAATTTGGAAAAATCACAGACAAAGTGATTGTGGAATACTAAGGCCAAGTGCAAGGTTATGATGTCATCAGGGCAGAGGGGCAAATTTATACTTCTTACCGTACATCCATTTTTTCCTAAAGGGTTCCAAGCTTTTAAATACAGGAAAGCTAACCAGAAACTTTTTACACAATAAGGAATGAAAAGAACTGAGAGATAATATGGATTATAGGTAAAAAAATAAGAATCTTTCAAATTGTTCTCATTAGATCTCATTACAGACAGCTTTAGTAAAAGTGTATCTGTAAACTGATGGCCATTTTCTTTCAACTCACCCTGTAAAAGGCAGAGAATGATGGCTGGACTTGTGACGGTGCTAAGAAAGAGTATCTGCCATACTTCTCTACGAACTTCAAAAAATCAGATTCTTTGATGTCCTGTGGCTGTTGGAAATAGTTCAGCTTTGCTAAAGGTTGAAAAGAGAAAAAAAAATTCCACAAGATGTCAAATTACTAGAAGAGACAGATCTAAGAAACAGTAAATATTGTGCCAATATTTTTAAAGGAACAACTTCAGTAATTATAAGCTAGATAGTGCCTTATATTAATTAATCCATAGTAACACTGCTAACAGGCCAATATAAGCTATGAACAGGATGATATCCTGAGTGCTAGTTTGTACTGGTTCATGGGAAACAGGTGTTAACACACAAACGTGACTTTCTAAAGGCAGACAACTTTCTTCATATGTACTCTGATTTCTGTAAGATGCTCAAATTAGACACATGTGACACTTTAATGACAAAACACTACCAATATGTGAGTTCACTAAAAGCAACATTAAATGGATTCCAAATAATTAAGGTTGTAAAACCCAAAGTAAGTGTGAATAAAGAATAGGTATCCTAAAAACCCCAGACTGTCTATCCGTACCCCACAGGGACACCCTCCTGACCCAGTATTCAGTACGGTTACAGTCTTATATTGTATTGAATTATTACTGCTAAAACACTAAGTCATAAAATGGCAAATTATTAAGGACATACTATGTAGACTTATCCTAATAGACCTGTTTGAACAATAAATTTTTCCATACATCCAAACAAAAGGTTTTACAAGGTTCGAGGACTACAGACCATGCTGACAACAGGAGTGAGTGGCAGTATCCTCGATTACAGGAGCACCAAAAATCATTCAGATAGTCGGGGTGGCAGGAAGAGCTTAAGCTCCTAACGTAATTTTGCTATTTGAGGGCAGAGCAGATCCTCAAAGGTACAGAGCAGCAAGAAAATAAAAGCTTTTTTATGTCCACCTACAGCATTAGTCAAGGAGTCAACTAAATCTTTTAAGGAGATAAAGGCTGAAGGAGTATTATAAGCTCCTACAAGGTTCACAAAAATAGGTGCAGCTCTCTAATTCACTTGAGGGTATAATCATTTCATTGAAAAAGAAAAACCTTGGTAGTTGTGCTACTCAACCATTTCTTTTCTTTGGGATGCAGTTCTTTATGCACTCTTCTACGATCAAAGCTGAACACTTGCTAACACAGATTAGCAACATTACACAGTGCAAACTGAAGGAAAAGCCTTGTGCAGCAAAATTTAAGATATTCAAATTGCTTAAGTTTTCAGAGAAAAGACATATATTACATGTTCATAGGGTATTTTGCTCAAGAAAGCACATGAGCCAGTAAAGGCTATTTAATCCTGTAGAAAAAGGCAAAAAAGAATTTCAGACAATTTAATGTGTCTCAAACCAGACAAACTTTAAAGAAAAACAAAACAAAACAAACAGGAGTCAGACTTGTGAATAATGGTTCTTGTAACTTTAAAATGCACTCATATTAGTTCTTCTACTGATTTAGAAGTGGAAATAGCAGCAATGTTCTCCTAACACCTGCAAAGACTAAAGACAACGTTGTTATCTTGAGGAGCTAGTATGTGAAACAGGAATGCTTTTAAAAGTACTTTAAGTATTTTGAAAATATCCAGTACTTCCAACTGTCCCCGAGAACTGATCTCTTCTGCTTAATGAATGAATTGTCAATTGGATCAACAAGACTGCCTGACTCAGCCAGCTACATGATCATTAGGCAGAAGGAACTGTTAGGGATGTGGTAAGCAGTCACACTGCTCATTTAGTATCTAAAATCACTTTTAAGACATATGTGAAACTCCGCCCTTAGCATGACACAGCGAAAAGGCAGTACCGGGAAAAATTGCAACAGGAAGAAAAGGCCACAAGGCACAAAAGAAAGAGAAGATTGGGTGCGATGAGCTGTCAGGGTTAGCGGAGTGCCAGAGTTGTGAACAGCTGTCAGAGAACAACAGTACCAAAAAGTAGGAAAATAAAGCAATTAAAGGATGGCAATAGTCGGAAAAACAGGCAAGAAAGATGACTCGTGAAACGAAGGATGTTTTACACTTCTGGAAAGACAACTGAAATAGAGTACTGCAGTCAAGAAAGAATGAGAGTCATGGAAAGAGCCATTAGTGACAAGCAGAGGAAGAAAAACCATGCGTCTTTCAGAAATATCGTAAAGAAGTACTAGTAAAACCTGAGCACTACTCTGGTATCTGCTAGCAATGGTTTCCATGAGGTGAAGTCAACTTGTGCATGACAATCCCATTGTTACTGACCATGATAATTCATTAGGTTCACAGCCTGTTCCCAGTTGCCCTTTTCCAGGAGGCCCTCTGGAGCAGGCTTGATTATATTCCTGGCAGCGGTAGCTCATGTCACCATCCAGCCTGGAAAGGCTTCTTCCACATTCAGTTGATGAGAACGTATGTGTTTCTGTATTTCCTTGGCAAAGGCCAAAAGGGAGAAGGCTGTTTCTACCTGAAAACTTTATCATCCTTCAGGTGATCCCAAATAAAATCTTTCCCAGGTGTTCTTCCAACAACAAGCACAGAAAAGGAAAAAGCCATGTGAGCAGTGTATTCTGCTGTTCCCAGGTGTGCTACACCTAACACATACATGCAATCAAGTGTCTAGGGCTTGTTCAGTGGGCCTAATCATGTGCTTGATATAGGGCCCAAATACTAAATGGCCAGAAAAATCTGGTGCCATCAGTCTGGACACAGATGATCCCTCCTTTGGATGAGATTACAAATTCAGAATCCTTCTAATCCTACTTTTCTGATACTACAGGCACTCTGGGAAAGGGATAAAATTTAGCTGCTTCCAAGTTACAGGCTGGAACACCTACGAGCCTGATGGCACTTTCAGCTGTGGTTAAACCCTCAAAGTTCATCTTTACTCTGAGATCTACTGAAAATTGGAATGGGTGAAGTTCTAGCACTACTAGCCATCATACTATGTACTGTGAGGCTCTCGCTGTTTCTTTAGTCTTCCCTGAATGTATGCAAAACATTCAGGCAACATCTGTGAAGAGCTGAAAGCAGGACTAGATAACAGGAAGCTAACCCTGTTTTGACTAGTTGTTGGACCAGTTAACCTCCTGAGCCCCTTCCAACCTAAAATACTCTATGATTTAGGTCAGAAGTAGATGGGGCTGTGTTTCAAAATCCCCAGGCAAAAGACTCAGAAAACGGTAAGTGTTCAAATCTGAGACCCCAGTGAATTGCAATGAATGCCAGAGAGTTGGACATGAAATCAGTCAAATAAAGTACAATATGGAAATCAGAAAGAGAAACAGGTGTTAACAGCACACCTGCAAGGATATATGATCACCAGAGAAAATTCATTGCCAGCAGAGCAGGAAGTATGAAAATAACCACATGAAACAAAGAATCCAAGATATAAGGAATCACATTCTGAAAAGGAGGCCAGTAGTCTATTTCAAACATCAACCCTTATTTGCTGCCAACGAAGTAAGATACCTCAGATACAGAAACAATTGATAAAGGCTGAACCTACCCTTAAACTGAGTGCAATGATCCTTTTTTTTGTTTGTCTTTGGTGACTGGACCCTGATTCACTATAGTCTCTCTGGAACTACAACGGCCCAAATAATTAGTAACAATTATAGCATGTAGGTTTTAAAAAAGATACTCGAAGCAGAGGCAATCTACGAGTTAAAAGTGTGGAAAGAAACGTTACTTACAGTCATCCAGCTGCACACAGAACAGTAGATCATGTCCACCAGGGACAGCAATGGTATCAGTAGGATAAGGGGTGTTACTTCTGAACATGAGTGATTTTTCCACACACACTTGACTTACATACCTGCAAAGACAAGCCCCCCGCCCGTAAACTGTTAAAGAGGCTATTCTTGCATAATTTTGTATTTTATGTTACTAAATGCCATCCACACAACACAGTATCACTCTTCATCAGCATACACGAGTTACTGTACAATTTGCACTGATAATCAAATACAGACAGCCTCTCTTGTTATCGTAGTAACTTTCTGGATACTCTTATCTATTTGTATATTGAGAAATCACTCTGAAATTCCCTGGAACAAAAAGTGCCTGCGTGTTACAGCTCCTCTCGGTCCTCCTCACAAGGGCAATCTGCAAAGACAGGGTTCACCCACAGGTTTTACTCTCCAAGTAGCTGAAACCGTCTTCCTCATTGACGGCCTATCGCAGTCTGTAATCGCTTTACTGTCTCCCAGTTGCACATTAAGGCTCTTTTTTCCCGAGATAAGACTTCCTCGCTCCCACCGCCAATAGCCTCACCGTCGAGTAACCAAGCCGCGCTTTACCTCGGCCGGTAAAGTGTCGGCCACGGGAAGCCTTTCCAGGCCCTCGACTCCGGATTAAGCTGTGGCCCGGAGGCGCGGCGAGCACGACAGCGAAACTAGCGCGGCCGAACCGTGGTTCCTGCCGG